GACTTACCTTTTACATTCTCACCAGCGTTGTCATTGGCACAGCTTCTTATATATTTTAACATTTTTATCACCAGTTTTTTCTTGACAAATTGAATACATAGCCATTTCAACAAACCAGCTTTTCCCCCCATCTAACAGCTTTTCCTATGCTTGTTTTATTATTATAGTACTAATTTTCCTGATTGACTTATAACTAGTAGTAGTCTTATTAATGCAAATTTCATTCTCTAGTTAGTAAGTCATACTGTATCCAACTCATCCTACTAAAAAAATTATACTTTAGGAGAAATTTTTGTACTCATAATTTTAACATAGTGACAGCATCCACTAGCACATGGGCTGATCTTGTGTTCATAAGTCTAACATACCCAAGCAGTACATTTTTAGGAAGGAAAAATGAAGGGAGGCTTACTGAGCTCCTGAAGACCAATAATTTATAGTCTAGTTGGAAAGACAAAATAAATAAACAGGCATTTACAATATACAGTCACTATATAGCTTGTCCATTATTATAATAAAATTATGCACATGATATTATGGGAAAATAAGAGATATCTGAGCCAGACTCAGAGAGGAACTTACCAGAAAGACTTCTCAAAGGGGTAACACATGAACTGAATTCTGTAAGAGGAATAGGCTTTTGCCAGACAATGGGAGATGGAGATTTGGGGTGGAAGAATGTGGAGTTTTCCAGCTATATTACTTAAAGGCCCAGAGACAATCAAACATGGAACATTAAGGGAAATAGGAGTTCACTGTAGGTGGTGGTGAGAGTGGGAGTGGAGGAGGAGTGCCAAGAGATGAAGCTATAAAAGTAAGTAAGAGCTAGATTATGAAGAGCTTTATGTACTATGCTAGGAAATATTGACCTTATTGTGAGTGTATGGAGGGCCCATTGACTTTTGGGGAAACTAGATTTGCAGTATGGAGATTGGAAGGGAGAAAACTGATACATAGTGGTGATAAGGCCCTGCACTAATGTACAATCAATAGAGATGGAGAAAATGGCCAAATTTGGGATATTTTGAAGAGATAGACTCAACGGGGATCATTGATCAACAAAAGTAATACATACAGCAAAAAGAGAATAGCTTTTGGAGTTAGCTAGGCCCAGGTTCAGATCTCAGCTCTGTCACTTACTCGTTTTGTGACCCTGGATGTTTTATGTACCCCTCAGAACCTTAGTTTCCTTATCTTAAAATTGGAACAGAATACTCAGCCTGTAGGGATGTGAGGAGTAAGTGAAATAATATAACATATGTAAAGCATCCAGTAAAGTGCCTTACCACATAGTGGATATAAAATGATAGCTGCTCTTGTTGTGAGGGATGAAGGAGATGGAGGGGAGTCAAGAATGACTTCCAAGTTTTCTAGATGATTAATGAGAAAGAGCTAGATTAGGAAAGTTGGGTAACCTGTCTGGTTCTTAGATTGCTTGTGAGGAATCTGGGATGGAAATGTTCCCTGACAGATGAGTGGGGAGCAGTATGAGTGAAGCCCAAGGAGGAGAGCAGTTCAAGAAGAGAGTGGGATTAGCAGTTCCAGAGCCTCCAGAGAGTTGGAGTAATATCGATGCAAAGAATATCTTTGGATTTACTAACAAAGAAATTATTAGTTAACTTCTGTCATGATTTTTAGCGAAGCGATGGGTTATATGCTTAATTTCAGTGGTTTGAGGAGAGAATAAGCGATGCGTAAAGGCAACCAGTGTAGACAAATCTCTTAAGAATGTGACATAAATTTTGATTTAAATGCTGATTTTAAAGAGCTTACAGAGAAGAAGGGGTTTCTGAGGAAGTTGAATGTTAGCTCAGAGAGTCAAGTTGCAAGAAGGATGTAGTGGTCAGTGGTGTCACGTGCAGCAGAGCAATCTTGTAATTGTTCACGGAGAAAATGCACATTGGATTTGGCCATTAGGAGGAAGTCTGTGAACCAGGAACTAAGTCTGTGTCAGGAGTACTTTGAATGTTAGGCTTTGTTCAATGGAGAATGAGTGAAAGTTATTGAGCATGGAAGTGAGATGATCAGAACACCACTTTTTGATTTTCTGGCAGAAGTCTGAAGGATGAGATAGGAGGGAAGATTCCATTTAGGCTAGTGAAGGCACAAAGTAACAAGGGCCTGGATCAGGGTGATGATGCTGGCAAAACAAAGATAAGTGCAAGAGCTGTTACGCAGGAGCACCTTTGTAACTTGACAGTTCCTGGATGTAATGGGTAAAGAAGTAGCCTACAAGGTGACATTTTAAGGTTTTGAGTGTGAGTAATGAGAATAGGAGTAGCAAAACAGAGGCATTAGTATTAATGGAAGCAAGATTGGAAGATAAATTCATTTTTCATTTTTTTATTAAGCATATGTTAGTTATTGTGTGGCTACTATGTTTTGATCACTGTCCCAGATACTAGAGTTACAGCAGTGAACATAACAGGCAAGATCCCTGCTTTCATGGCACTTAACATTCAGAAGTGAGGTAAAGACAGAAAAAAAAAATAGAATAAAAAGACAAGATAATTTAAGACAAAACTACGTAATGATATAGAGATATATTGAGGGGGACCACTTTTAGATGGTGTGGTCAGGAATGATATTTCTAAAGAGGAGAGATTTGAACTGAGACCAGAATATTAATAAGGAATCAACTGTGCAAAGATCTGGGTACAAAGACATCCCTACCCAGACTGGAGAATATGTGCAAAGGCCCTGAGAAGGGAATGAGCTTGATTTGTTTGAGGGCCAAAAGAAAGGCCAGTATATCAGGAGCAGAAGGAGCAAGGGAGATACTAATACAAGATGAGATCTGAAAGGTAGATACAATTAAACTTACACAGGACCTTGGACATCTTGCTGTGGTTTGGTGGCTTATTGTAGTGGAAATGAAAGAAAATTAGTATGTTGAACTCGAGCTGTCTATGAGACATCTAGGTGAAGAAGTCAGTTATCAGACTTAAATATATAAACTCAAATATGATTTGCATAGTATTATTCATTGAAAGAACTTGCCAAGTTGTTTAGGCACTGAATAAGTAAACACTGATAATATGGAGGCTCGAGGAGTGTGTCAAGGAAATGGTCAAGGGATCTGAGGGATCTGCGGGATCAGAAATCCCTAGCAGTTCTTTAACATAATGAAGGTTATCTTAAATATCATTGCAACCTGAAAGAAATGACCAACTGTTGTATGAATAGTAGCTGGAAAAATTGTGGCCAGAAATATCTTATGACTTCACGGGATGTGAAGAATACTCGCCAACTTAAAATGCCTGCATCTCCATAGGGACCATGCAGTAAAGACTTTGTGTAGTGCTGGTTCAGACAGAACTCCCATTTCCAGAAATGCATTTTTTTGCAGTAAACAGGGAGGAGTATGTGTATCACTGTGCTGCTGGGCACACAAGCAGTTTGAATAGTTTGCTTAGCCAAGGTTATCCTTAAGGGATCTGGTTTTACTGAATATGTGCTCAAAAGATACACTAAGACATAATAATTATACTTTACATTTATGTATTGCTTTACAGTTTATATCACCTTTACCCTTGGAAAGTCAACTTGATCTTCAGAAACAACTCCTTAAAGTAGATAGGGTAGGGGACAAGAATTTAGGGAGATCAGTGTTAATATTTTAGAGTTGAGGAAACCGAGGATCTCCGAGTGCACAGTGATAAATTAACAATTTCTGACTTCACTTGCACTGCTTTACTTACCACACCACGCTAAGTCAGAGGTGAACAAAGTGGAAACTTCAGTAGAGGTTTGTATCCTTACTAAAACAGTGACAAAATATACTTTGTAATTTGTATTTTAGTTGTAAGTGCTACCAAAAGGATTCAGAGTGCTGTGGATACACAGAGGAGGGTGAACTTGACTTTGACTGGGAAAGTCAGAGGTTTATTAATAATTTTATATAGAAAATGTGTGCCATTTTCTCACTTGGTAATTTTTATTGGCTTTTCTTGGTTGCTCCATGAGTTTAAAGTACCACATTTATTTCTGCTAGCATATTTTATTCTTGTATTGCCACCCAACTCAGTGGAGACTAATAGTAATAATAGCTAACATGTAATGAACAATTCTATGCCAGGCACTGTGATAAAGGATTTTTAAAAAATCAACTTCATTGAATCCTTGTATCAACTCTCTGAGGTGGGAGCATTCCTTTATAAATTGGTGTTTTCAGTACATTCACATACTTGAATGGACTGAATGTAGAACTCTGAGAATGAAAAGGTAATTATATGACATTGTACTTCAGGATAAAGTTAAACCATGCAAATTGATATTTTTTGGTCATATTATGTATCATTTATTATATTTTTCCCTAAGTGAAGAAGCCAGGCTGGTATATGTACTAACCTGACAGATGAAATCTAAGCTATATAATGTGAGTGAATAAAATAATATGTTAAATGTCTTTTTATGATTATAGTGACAGTATGTAATCATCATAGGTGGTTGTGCATTTAAAAATACACTTTGTGTTACTAAAAAAATGGCTAATCAATAAAGACATATATACTTAAACTATTTAGAAATGAGAAATGTCCATAAAACTTAATCCTTTATTTAGTGACTTTTCACTCCTGTGTTTTCTCAGCATGAATGAGATGTGTTGCTTACTGTGGAAATGGTAATAATGCTTTGTGTATATATAACATCTTTCATCTGAGTGCTTTTCAAATATCTCGAATCCTTACAGTACTTCAGTGTGGTAGGCAGGTGTAAGGAGTATTATTATCTTCATTTTTTAGATGGAGAGAGAAACTAAGCCACAAAGAGGATGAAATGATTTATGTATAGTCCTATGATCTAAAGAGGCAACCTGAGCTACTAAAGTAAGAATATTATATTAATATTTTAGGAGGATTGGCACATTGACCCCTTTACTTTTGTACTTTACACAGATTATTAGAACAAATGTGTTAGCTCTAAAATGTCCACTTGGAATTTTTTATCCTTTCTTTAGAAATAGAAAACATTATAATACTTTTTTTCTTCCTTTTTAGGTCAGCAGCAAGGACAAGATGGAGTAAAAGTCCAGCAAGCTACTATAGCCCCTGTAACTGTAGCAGTTGGAGGAATTGCTAATGCGACGATAGGTGCTGTTAGTCCTGACCAACTCACACAAGTGCATTTGCAGCAAGGCCAGCAAACTTCTGATCAAGAGGTACAACCTGGCAAGAGGCTTCGAAGAGTTGCCTGTTCCTGTCCTAATTGTAGGGAAGGAGAAGGAAGGTAAGTGCTCTGTCTTCAACTCTCTCTCTGTGGAAGGCATAAAATAGTAGTTAAAACCAGTCATTGGTTAGGTACTTTGGACACTAGAACCTCACTACCTTTGCAGCCCAGAAGTTGAGATATAATATTATGAAGTGAATTAAGTTGGGCTATTTTAGGAATGGGATTTGAGTGGTCCTCTGCCTTGTACCTTACACTTTTTAAAAATAGTTTTCCTTTTTCATATATAATGCAAGATTTTTACACATTTATTGATATAAAACTCACACATCATACAGTTCATCCATTTAAAGTGTACAATATGGTGGTTTTTAAATATATTCAGAGTTGGGTAGCCATAGCTATAATCACTTCTAGAAACTTTCTGTCATCTCCAGAAGAAATTCTGTATGCTTTAGACATCGCCCTCTCATCCCCTCAACCTTTCCATTCTAGGCAACCACTAAGCTAATTTCTGTCTTTGTAGATTTGCCTATTCCGAACAATTCATATAAATGGAATCATACAATATGTGGTCTTTTGGGACTGGCTTCTTTCATTTAGCGTAATTTTTCAAGGTTCAGGCAATATTATGGCATGATCAGTACTTCATTCCTTTTTATGGATAAATAATATTCCATTGCGTGGGTATACAGTGTTTTGTTTGTCTTATCACTTGATGGACATTTGAGTTTATTTTCACTCATTGATCATTATGAGTAATGCTGCTATAAACATTCATGTTAAGTGTTTGTGTAGACATATATTTTCCTTTCAATTTCATTTATATACCTAGAAATGGTATTGTTGGGTCATATTACAACTCTGTGTTTAACCGTTTGAGGACTGTTTCCCAAAGTGGCTGAACCATTTTATATTTCTACCACCAGTGTATGAGGGTTCCAGTTTCTCTGCATCATTGCCAGTATTTGTCATTACCTGACTTTTTGATTATAACTATCCTAGTGGCTCTGAAGTGGTATCTTAG